GATCAAGTTAAACCAGCTACTGATTAAAGAAGATATAATAAAGTTTAAGCTGATCACCATGAGACTTTGGAAAAGGAAAAAAAAGTTATTTTCTTGCGTACTGGTACCTGAAATGAACACGAGACCGTGCAAGATGACAACTGTCTTCCTAGGAGAAGCTGTTACAGATTTCTCAAAACAAGCATACAAGGTCATACACAGTAAATTAAAAGAACTACAAGGGATGCTATTCCTGTAGCATAAAAGATTAATTCTGTAGGCCTGCAATCATGTATCATGTGAGCCTCTCTGTGTCTGAGGTGGCATAGTAACACAAAGAATACGAACATGGAAAAAAGGATGTGTTTGCCCAATACGGAAGTGGTTCTTTTGTCTAAAACGGGACCCATCTTTAAAATGGCCACAGAACAACCCTACAGCACCCAAACAGACAGTGGCTCACAAGCAATAGCAACCACACAGCAAACAGTAGCAATATACCAATATATTGCTAATGCTGCCCCAGCTTCTGCTCTCAGCAAACAGCTAAGAAGGATATCGACCTCTGCACTGCTCTTCTGCAGTGGCTCACTGCTATAAAGAGTAAGTTTTCTCTGTACATTTACCTTGCCTCATCATATTTACATGCTGCTTGATGCAAATTTTCTTCAAATTGATACAATTCGAACAATGTCCTCCTTCAAGTCCCACAGACCTGGAAAAGTTTGTGTGTTTGTTATGTGTATGTTGTAGCACTTTTTTTTTGGTACTTAAAATACCAATTAAAAATACTCAGACACTTCTATTGATGTGAGGTTTGGGATCTATTTTAAAAATTTTAAGCCAGGCAATCCTCAAACCACATGCACATTAATTCTCTTTAAGTGAATAAACCACAAACATTCCAAACATCAGGTTCTTGCTTCAATACGGTTAGCACAGAGTGAGGCAAATGGAGAAAAGCATTTAGCTAATAAGGCAGCCCTTATTATTTTAGGGTTATTTATTATTTTAGGTTATTTTTCTACCAAGGAACATACAAAAAAAAAGTACATTTGGTATGAGATTGGCATGTATGTACATATTCTCATGCAATCAATCTAAAAAATACTTAACAGGTCCTGCAACTGCTCCTTTACACAGAGCGGATTTGTAGGATGCAAGGCATGAAAACAGAAATGCATTACAGGTGGGTGCAAGATGCTCTACCTATAAATGCTCAGAACTCAGGGTACATAAAAGTCTGCCCGTGTCGGTCTCCAGATTTAAAGTCAAGGCACTGAAACTTACCTGACAGAGACCAACCCTTGCAACCTGACATGCTATTTGCACTTATTCTTCGGGGTCCTGTACAAATTCTTACCTTACCTTAACACTTCTGTTGAGAAAACCATTCCTCTAGGACCCAGTCTTCATTCTTCACACATTAATGACAATAAATATTGCCATTATTCTTTTGTCTTGCAGCTTAGTGATGAGAAACATGATGAGGTACCACTTTCAGATACACAGGTCCGAGTCTTAACCAGACTTTTGATCCAGCAGACTGTCCCTGTGTCTTGGCACTAGATAGTAGTGCTTTATGTCAGGTGCAGTGCTTTCACGACAAGTAACACAGCCCAACATGGGGCAATGTACAGCACAAGTTCTGCTAACCCAGGTTCTCAGGCCCTCTGCATTTGAAAACTCTAAAGATGTTAACTCAAATTCATTCATAACATGGCCTTTACGAGAAAAACTTCAAGCACTGAGGATATTTCAATCATTAACTGTGCAGGTAATGTCCACTAATAACATCTGTACGCACTCCCAACATAAAAACACAATGGTTATCAACTGAACCAATTCTAAATCAGCAGCTACACACACAACATGGGAAATGCTAACAGGCATGGCATTCAATGATCACATTCTGCCAACCTTTGCTTGCTTCGTGCAGGGCCAAAATGGAAGAAAATCAGCTGGGTCCATCCTAGTTCATTAGTTTAGGTTCTTTATGTTGCAAGGAGAAAGAAGAGACGGCCCCGTATGCCAGGTAAGGGAACAGAGCCAATGCCTATGAGAAAAAATGTGACTGGCTGTAGGGGAATAGGAAGCAATACCAGTATTTGGGAAAGTATGAGAAGAGGATAAAACAGAAAGCAAAAGGAAAGCAAGGCAGAATATTTAATAATTTCAATTAAATTACCAAATGGCAAAAGTATAAGCAATATTCCAAGCATTGCAGTGTGCTGTACGGGGCTACTTTCAGTGGATCTAAATGCATGAAAAGGTTTTTCCAGCTTGAATCACCAGATGAACCCACAGGGTGCTCTAATCATAAACCCTTGCGCTTCTGGCAGTGACGGGTGGAAAAACCCACTGCAAGCTTTTCCTAACACTATTAGCACGTTAATAGAGCAGTCTGAGCTGCTATGGTGTCTTAGTAGAAAGAGGTATGTATTACATTTACTAACATTTCAGTAGTCTCTAAGCTATTTCTTGACCTTCATAGTAACAAGACACATCAATATTTATTTATCAATAAAAAAATTAGCATCTTACTGTTTCAGGCCTTGAGAACCTCATGTTCTAGCTATGAATGCACTACCAAATTACCTAGTTTGACATTTTAACTAACTTCACACCGATCCATGAACCACCTTAGGTACTATCATGAATTAGTGGGAAAGAATTATAACATTTATTATAATATTTGCTGCACCTCTCCACTCTTCCTCTATTGGGTGGGTCTCCTCTTAAGTTCTCAGTGGCAGTAACAAACCATCAGCTTCAGAGGGGTTAAAAGCCATTGAAAACCAACTGCAGACAGGCTGGTGCTGTTCAACAAAATGAAGTCATATCCACTGAATAGAGCTGATTAAGAATAAACGACAAACTGTTGGTAGCTTCTCTACTCCGTCCCACACCAACACTGCTAGAATTTTAACGAGAAGTAAACAAGAGTCGAAGAAGCACATAATATCCTTTTTTTTCTTCCCTAGGAGTAAGAAAGTAGCTTCTACCCATTTAGGTAACAACTTTCCTCAAAGAGATCCATTGAGGTGTGATCAGATAAGTGCCTTGGATGAACAGGAGACATCGCCGTGAGGTTTAACAAGGACGCTCTCAGTAAGAACTGCGTAGGATATGGATCTTGTTTCCAACATGGCCCTGCCAGATCCCCAGATCTACCTATTCTTCAAATAAACTGCAAGATAAACAGCTCCGTCTGTTGCATACATCATTCCTGTTGCAGGGAAGGAGGAAAAAAAAGGTAGTTTTTGCACCTGAAGTAAGGTCATCTCTCTAAGAAAGTCACTAAACTCAAGCCAAAGTGAGGTCTTTGAAATCCAGGTCGGCTGTACAGCAGAGAAAAGCAGAAAAAAAATAAATCAGTAACTATTAAACACATTCTGAAAATGCGTTTAAGAGGCAAACTGCTCTTAGAACTGAACAGCCTTTCACAGACGCCTCTTGGTCCTTCACAAGCATTTGATTTCTATTTGAACAACCAAAAGCTTGGGGGCATATGTTGGCTTTTTTATTTATTTGGTGCCCAGTATTTATCTGATTGCCTAAGATTTCATTTTCATGGTCCAACTGCTTAAGTGCCAAGGTTTATCACTGCTGCTTTTGTGCCCATTATTCAGGTTAACTTGGCATTTGTCTTCCTGCGCCTGAAAGAGTCACTCTGAGCGGCTCTGTCATACTTTGTTTCTTTTAAAAGCAAAGAGATGCCGAGTACGTGCTCTCCGTGCACGATCCATGCCCTCACAACTCAGTTGTCAGCCACTTAAGCGCCTACAATTTTTTCTTTGAGGATCCAACAGCTGTACTGAAATATAAACAACTCAAACACACTGGAAAAATTACTAGAAATTCCCCTCAAACATTCAGCAGCATCATCACCAACACTTAAATAACTTATGCAAACAGCAAGATACCAAAACATTGTAATAGAAGCAACGTTGCTGAGCACTCAAGACTGCTGCCCACGGAGACAGGCAAGCGTTTAAACATTACCACACTCACTGGCTGCATTACTGCCATGACAGCTTTTTATGCTTTGGTTAATTTAGCCAAAACATAAGGAGAGAAAAACAAAAACCCCAACCCTGCAATGAACAGTTACTGAAGCCACAGGTACAATTTGTTCAGTAACACAGTTCTCACAGACTATATTTTCTTAGGAATGAAAACCACTGTGGCATTCCCTTATCCACAGGTATTTAACTATTAAGGCCTTTGCACCTCTGAAGTAATTTTGAAATATTTTAATACCTGTTTAGGTCCTCTGAGGTGCTGGTTCATGATTCACAGTCTACTGTGGCTACTTTTACATTTTTTATGCCTTCCTGCCTGGGGCTGGGGAGAAAAGAATGGGACAAGAATAAAAAATTGGCTAAGTTGAAGCAACTGATCTCCACAACCCACAAATTCAAAGCCTGCTTATAACTCAGAAGAGAATCTCAAACCCAAGCAGTGTTAAGAAAAAAAACCCACACCAAACAGGAGCTTTCAATGAAGGTAAAAAGTATTTGCTTTTTAATATGCACTTAAGTCACAGTATCTGTTTTGAGATCATTACACCAGTTAACATGTTCAGTGTATTCTCAGAGTATTTTACAAAAGCCTGTCTGAACTGAAGGAGCAGGTACTAACTAAAGGAACACAGAAACCTCTGGGGTTTCAGAGGAAAACTTAAGCAGTGACAAACATTCTTTCCATTCATCTTTATCAATGGTTGTACAACCCACCATTTTTAAAAAAGCAAAAGCCATCACAATAAGTAAATGAAATCAACAGAGATACGTTTTCAACATTTTTCTGGCAGTCCTTACCTGATGCTGGTAGTAAAATGCAACCATAATCTAATAAGACCATTTGAAATTATTTTACAGATTTTAGATTTAGGCCATTTTTCAGTGCCCTGTATCACACTGGTAAAAAACAAAAAAATCTTTAAGGAAAAACAATGATTTAATGCATTTCTATTAATTGAACAGAACACATTAAAAAAGAGCAGCTACTGATTAGAACATACTGAAATGAAGACAGACCTGGTGTGTCAGTGGAATTTTAGTTGAAAGCTATATACACTTAAAGATGCTATTCAAGTCAAAACTCAAGGAGAACTTGAGGGTGAAAACCAGCTGTTACAGTATTAACTGTGCCTGACAGCAGGTTATACAACACGTACATACACTGGTTCTTTCTGCAGTATTTATCTGCAAGGCTCTAGCACTGAGATTTCTCCTTCAGCAATAAATTATTTACTATGATACAGTGTATGGAACAGCGGCGAAACATTTCTTGACGACTCAAAAGACAGACATACTGCAAAAGTCCATGTCTCTAGAAATGAGAAATGGAGACAACAGCCTCCTTGCATCTTCATTAGCTAGAGCCCTTCTCCTCTTTGGCAGCAGAAGCCTCCACAGAAGCAGCTTCCAAATCTTTGTTTGACTTCTCTTTTTCTTCATTTTCATCCTCTTGAGGGTAAAGATCTGGGTATTTTTGCATGCATTCCTGCATGGCACGAAATTGGTCCACACAGTCTGACCCCTTTATTTCTTCTGTGCTATAGTGGAAACAAGAAAAGGCCGACTTGAACTGCTCCCCACAGGGACCACTGGCCATTCCACCCAGACACGGGCAATTCCAGTTGATATCTCCATTGGGCAGTATCAAACCTGAACAAACAAGAGAGAAGAAAAGTTAAATGCTCCTTCCAAAAACTGACTTCATTCAGTGAAAGCTGCTAGGTTGCAGGTGTAAGCTGAAGCACTGATAATGCCATATTAGTTCTGTAGCTTCAAGGGTGTTTCCATCTCTGATCTGCATGATCCTTTATGAGCACAAGTGACATTGGTTGTAACTCCATGCCTGAATTAAGTTTCTTCCTCGACTACAAAGCACTAAGGAAAATGCAAAACAGACTGAAGTAATCTCAACCCACTTGTCAGACTCTGTCAAGTGAAAATGCAAGCCTTAAAATCACGTCCTACAAGTGATAAGAATTTAATTCTAGTATTAAGACTAGAATTCTTTTAAATCAAGTTGGATAGATGCATTTTTGTTCTTGTTTTAAATGAACCCTGGAATACTAACCTACAACTTTCCCTCTTGAAATTTGAACTGGAAAACCAGAATTACAAAAACAAGCAGCACTTTATTTGTAAGACACAGATTAAGTCACATCCCACAGAACACAAGGAACAGCAAGAGCACGCCAAGCCTGTCTGGTTCTGAGAGACCAAACTCCCCTATAGTTCACAAATGAAAGTGAAGTAGGTCTCACTTTAGACTATAAACTGGAAATTTCTGCTCTGGAACAGTTAAAGTCATCACAAAAATATTTCAGTGATGGAATAGCAAGGTGAAGATTTAAATGGGCACACGTTCTTCAGGCATCCACTGATTTGCACACTGAAGTCCAAGCAGCAAGCCAGAAAAATCAATTTCCCTGTGAGCTTTAGAAAATCTTTTAAACAGTCAGGTATAGAAATGTAATGTAACAGACTTGGTTGTGTAAGCTTCTAGAGTCTCTAATATATTGCTCTATATTGCATCTCCATTCCCTTTCTCTGCTTCGCATAAATATACGTGTAGTTATGTTCACAAGAGAAATACTGTGCCGTGATCCAAGCTGGTTTCTTTTTCACTTTGCTTGCTCTCTTCCTCTCCAGCAGAATTCCCCAACTTCATCTCCAGCTTGAGTGTCTGCATAAGCTAACAGCATGTGCCATAAACCTGGACTTAGAAGTACTTTCCCACAACACCATGAATCTTACATATTGGTAGACCAAAGACAGCTCAATCGTATTTATTGCTATATTCAAAGAAATGAAAAATTTACTCTGATTTGCAATTAATCAGCGATGTGCTGTAACTCAGTTGATGCAGTTCAGCAGAAAACTACACTGAGACAGTGAAATCTCAGTGTTGATCAATCTCCTTTTCATTACAGAAAGTAATAGCCTCCTCAGCACGATTTAGCCAACTACAGTAACAGCCATTTTTTGTAGATCATGCTTTCTTCAGCAAGGTATTTTTGTAAAATATCTCTACTAATCACTGTACTGAGAAGATATACCCAGCACAGTGCATCATGACATTTCTAGCTGCCTGGAGGAAAAGCAGAACTTGTGAGACAAGGAAAGGGATGCCTGGTGCCAGATTCCTTATTGCCAAGGATGACAGAAAGCAGAAACACGTTGATCATACAGTGTAGGAGAAATATGGCATGCTTTGTAAACTAGATTTTGAAGTCCTATACTCCTTCTCACTAACATCAACCAATCATTTTAAACAGTCATTTTTCCAATACTTCAGAAAGAAAAATTACATGAAGAGTTTTGAAATGTTCCTGAAGACACCAGAGCAGTAAAATTACTTGTAAAATTATTCTTTAAAAATCAATGGTTCCTTTTAGAACCAGAACTGTCTTGTAAGCATGCAAATTGTAACAATGTGCGTTATCCCATAGACAATACATTCCTGCATATCACCTGAGGATTGATTTGCATCTGTCTGATCAGCAAAATAGCACCAGTTTCAGATGTTATATGCACAGAAAGTATGCTTACAAAAACAAAACCAAAAATACAGATGAATATGGCATTTCCTCACTGATAATTACAGCAGAATGCACACTTCAATGGGTACCAGCTAGCTTAGAACACAATTAAAACAGAAATAGACTTCCTCCATCACTCTCCTTGAATTTCAAAGTCTGCAATAGATGAGATTACTATTTTTAATTAAAATTACTTTCAAATTCAGCCTGAACTTCACTGATCCGGTGGATTATAATCTATCTGAGCCTGCACTTGGGGAAGTAAACAACCCTGTATACAACATAGCAGATCAAGGCTTGCATTGGAAACTAACTGCTGCCATCACACCACCTGAATTCTCCTAGTTAATATCATGGATGTTAACATCATGATATTAACATCTGCATTTATGGCAACACTTGTCCTTGTACTTGCTGTAACAAAATCCCACTGTTCTGAGAAAAGTTTCTTCTGTTATATGACCAGTGCTCCATTAACAAGTTTATCTGTCAGTGATTCGCAGTGTAAGATAACAGGCACAGAGGAAGCAAGACTGAAAGGGACAGCCATACACAGTCCTGTACATCTGATCATTCACCAAGTTCCTTCTTAAAATAATTAGTTTTTGCTTCATCAGTCCTCTGTGGAAACCCCTTCAAAACTATTTCTAAAATAAGATGACAGGAACAAGTCTGGAAAAACAGAGAAGGGAGAGGACAGCAACCACCTGTGTTTGCGATGCAATTCCATGAGCACTTTTAGCTGACTCTTACCGCAGCTGTGATACTAATAAAAATTACTTTTCATGCATAAGACTCACCAGTGCCTACTTCATATAAGCCTAATAAAATAAGAAATTATTCTAACTGATGGGAGCAAAGATGTCAACGAAAACTAGAGCTCTCTCACATTTAAATTCTTCCACCTGCAACACGTAAGACCAGGAACAAGCTTTACAGTGAGAATACTATTTCAAAACTGCTGCAAATGAATTCTTGTTTCCATCAGCCACAGCTGTTAAAAAGCACAATACAGTGAACTCTGAGATGCGCTGCAATAGGAAATGCTAATTTGAACCTACCTTGGTTCATCTGCCTTCCCATTTCACGTGACTTTATTTCTTTCAATGTTTTTAGCTTAAAGTGAGCCATTAACATTCTGCCTTCCAAAATCTCCTAACTGATAGAACAAAATAAATAAATACATCTCATAACTGATAGAAATAAAAAAGAATACTATACTAGTTTATTTTCTCCCAAAGGAAACAAAGCACAAGTTTTCCTGAGTGATCTACTGACTAAAGCAGACTGCTCAGAGACTGTTGTCTGTTAATGCCCAAAGCAAAATAAGAACTATCAAAAATGTTTATCTTCAGGATGAAGAAGGTCCCTACAAAACTTCAAATAAAACTTTCAGCTGTGTTAGAAGACAACACAGATCAAGGTATACCTATATAATAAATCTGTTCTCTTCCAGATATGACTGTTCTGTGTCTAGCACAGCAGAAAAGATAAAAAGAGTCATTATAGTTAATTAAGTCACAGAAGCTGAGCACTGGAAACCAAGTCTTCTATTCAACACAGAAGCTAAATTAGAAAAGCCTGAATGTTACTTAACATACAGCAAAGCCCTTTCCAATTTTCTTTCAAATAAAAACCACACAAGCCAGAGCTTCTGCACTTCAACACATTCGGAAACATTTTGCCCGTGTGCCCTTCCTGCCCACAAATTTCCCTCCCATCGGATGCAGCTACACTCTGTGATATGTCAACTGTTTCTGTTTTGATCTGACACGTTGTAGCCCAAGATCGTCCAAGTGAGAAGTTTTTGGAGAACCACACACTAAGGAAAAAAAGCCAACAACCAACAAAAAACTCAAGTCAAACTTATTAACAATATTTAAACAGTATTTCTCATTTTGAATCACACAGACACACATTTTCACTCTAAGGTGTCTCTGACATAACCAGCTTCTGGCTTCCTGTTTTCTCCCCTGCTCTATAGTTCAGGAAGAAAGCATTCTAACATGCTGTAAATACAGGACTGCTAGGACAAAAAACCCACCACCTCTCCTCATCATGGTCCTTCCATATCCAGCAAAATACACATCGGAGGAAACAATGAATATGGCATTTAAACAGGAAAGAAGGGGCTGGTTTAAATTTGGCTAGTTTATTACTCAAATATATGGCACAAGACTGTATACTTGTGGTACATGTTCAACCAGAAAAATAATTTGGGGTGGAGGGATGGGGCATGAGACAGAAGGAAGAGAATCCCCTCTTCAGAGGTACCAAGAAAACCATTTTCTATGTTCACATCCCGAGGTTTTGTAGTAAGTCTCTCTTATGCTAGATCTAAGAAGGCACCATTCCCTTTTGTTTTAAAAGCCAGTGTCAAAAATAGATGCTTAGTTATAGGACCAATATGAATTCACATGCTTTGCTACATAGACACCTTTTACTAACAGAATATTTAATTAGCACCAAAGACCACGAATGATTAGAAGGGGGAAGACAGGCAAACTTTAAACAACCACATATAACATCAATACAGATTGCATACATGAATTTACTCAGCTAAACAGCAAGCCACTTGGTTTAGCTGTACACCACACAAGGTGACTTAACAGTTCAGCAAATGATAAAATCTTCAAGGGTTTGTATGTTCTCCAGATGTAGTATTTAGAAAAAGTAACTTTCTTTGCTTTTTTTTGCAAGCAGTCTCCAGTTTGTCAGAGGAAACAGAAAGCCACAGGCCACAGAAAAGGAATGGGGAAATTAATTCCACCATCTGATCATCAGAGGCCATTAACTCTTCACTTAACAGACCAATAATGGATTTTAAATTTGCCTGAGAAAGGAATTAAAAACTCTGATTCTGTTTCACTTCCACACAGCATACTGACAGGAGGAACACTCTTAAAAATGAGCTCTCCTCAGACACTTTTCCACCTAAGGATGAACCACTTCACGTGAATCATTTGTAGGTTCATCTTCCATCCTTGTCAAGGCAGTAACAGATATAAGTGCCACTAACAGTCTCTGTTTGAAATCTTTAGGGCCTGACACACCATTCCCACAATGAATATGATGATAAATTGATAAGCATAGATTGTTTCCACCAAACAGGCAATTTGGGTGTTGGGTCTTAGCCAGAGAAAAAAAACTACCTGAAGTAAGAGGTAGAAGAATTCCTGACAGATATTAAACTACAGCTTTTAAAAACCTTTCTGAAATGGAAATTCTCTCATTGTTCTCATTTGGGTCATTATGAAACTGAACAGACTCATCACTGCTAACACGCAAAACTTTTAGATATATCTACTGACTACATACAGTTGCAATGAAGCCATGATAGGCAGCGAAATGCAAAATCATTTCAACACAAATCTGTGCATGAAAAAAGTTCTTTTAATGACATAGGAAGATACGGTTCAAATTACACTTCAGACCAGCTTCAGCTGCTAAATTGTGCTTAAATACTGCCCTCTAAAGGTCACAGAGCCGCTCGCGTAACTTGTACTTCCCAACAAAATTTCAAAAAGCATTAAGTTTACTCCAATCTCAGCTGAGCTGAAAGCAATGAGATGAATTCACATAAAGTGAAGACGCCAAAAGACCTGTAGGCATAAAGGCAATTAGAAAAAAATGTTAACCCAAATTCACGGATGTTCCAGATAATTTATTAACCTAGGGCAAAATCTATTTAATCATGATAGGAAGGCTATTTCATTTACCCATTAGAAACAACCTAAAATATGCTTTGCTCACTCAGAGTATTACAAGCCTTGATCTAGGAAATATTCTGCTCTCTTAAATCTCCATGTGCAGGTTACATCTGCTTCATATAAGAACGACAATCTTCACTGAAAACTTTAATTTATATCTTTTTAAGGCAAGATGGTTACAGTTGAAAACTGAGTAATGTGAACTTACCTGTCATGTGTCATTGAAATATTAACTACTAGTTATTGATCGTATTGCTACTAGTACAGCACAGGATTCATTAGATACAATTTATATTAAATCGGATCTTCAGAGATCACCAAATCAGGCAATTTCAGCTGCACAAAGGCAGGTGAGCAACTCACTATGAGAGTGAGATGTAACTGACTTCAGCTCCTTTGAAAACTGCACTTTGGCATTTAAAACAGTGAAAAAACAACCACAATTTTCACTGGCCAAGTTCTAATTTTGTTAACAAAAGACAGGAAGGAAAAGTTTTTTTTCTGGGTATCTCTGACTCTAACCAAAACTATAAGCCATCAACTGATGTATCTGAACAGGCCACTTTGAAAGATCATTTAAAGTATGGGAAAAAACCCAATTGTAAGGAAAGTATGTCATTTGTGATGTCCTAATTTGGAAGTTAAAACTGCTAAGAGTCTGGAGTTTTTATCGACTGAATAACCAGCTGCTCTCTGTTTTTAAAAAATGAGTGAATAATTTGTTCCTACTTCACACAAGGTTTGGTTTTTGTTGTTCTTGTTTTTTAAGATTGTGATAATATGATATATGTAATGTATCACTCTTTACTTTCGTTCTTCTGCTTCCTACTGACCTTGTTCTTCATAAGGGTCATCTGGGTCATCTGCAACCAGCTCAGCACTGCTCGGTGTCTCATGGTCCTCCTTGGTCACAAATATAATTCTGTCTTTTCCTACCGCAGAGGAGACAACAAGCAAAAGTTCAGAGAAAGCTGAGACACAAGGAATCATTTACAAAGCTGTTGAACACCACAAGGTAATGAGATATTCAACATAATGTATAAATATTCATAGCAAATGTATTCTGTTGATCTCATCAATCATCTTCAGTTGTGGATTCAGAGGAACACATACTCAACTGAAATTCTATTCTCCTAAAGTTCCGATTTCCACAGCAACACTGTTACTGCTGCAGATCACATCAGTCTATTGAACTGTGAAGTTAAAAAGCTGTTTCAAAACAAGCTCAAACGAATCCATTACCAGAACTAACCCAGATGAAGGAGTCAGACAAAATAATGAAGAGTGAAAGAAAAACTGTAAGTGTTCAATAAGTTACTTATTAATGAAAGTTCTCTCCATCAAAGACTGGTGTAATATTTCACAGTAATTATCTGAATTAAACACTGAAGAGTACCTTAACAGTACAGAACCAACTATACTGAAAGTTACTGTGAACATTACCAAGGACAGAAAACCAACACTGCCTGCTGTTGTGCCACTCCTGATTTAACAAAGCCGTTCTGTAGTGGGGTGGGAGGAGGCTTGGCTGGAAACCTCAGCAGAGTTTTCTAACAACTCTGTAGAACCGTAAAAACCACTGAGACAGACACCAGCAGAAAGGAAGAGCTAGCTGAAACTTCTGAACACACAACTGAGCCTTCACTGAGTGAAAAAAAACTGTAAGTTCCCCCAAAACTTCCTTTCATTCTCCAAATTCATAAAGGCCACTACAGTGACTTGGGATATTAGAAATTCGTATTTTGTTGCCCCTCAATGGGACCTCAGCCAGCCGATGTTCAGCAACTCCCTTTACTTTGCTCAGTAACCAATATGCATTTAAACTTTTCTGAGAAATGGATAAAACTAAACCCTTTTAAAAATGGGAACACTTTTCTGTCAACTCTGCATTGTATTCTAGCAAAAAAATGTAGAATGCCCAGCCATTTCTTACCTAAGAGGGACTAGAAACATATGACCTCTAACTGATCACCATAATTTTGTAGGATACCATAAGACAACTTACAGATCTTGCAAAGATCCCAGATGTTGTTAAAATAAATAAATTAAAAATATAAAGCAGAGGTCCAAAGGTCACGACTATCTCACTACAGTTTATAATCAGCATTCAGTGTGCCAAGTTTATAACTTCAAAATGGCATTTAGAACTACAGAACTGCTTTTTTCCCGTTTGAAACTTTACATTTAGTCACTGTACGGGTTGGTAATGGGAATATATCCTCCAATATATGAAGTAGCCAAGCCTCATAAATACCACAACCCATACAACATGATACCTTGTACAGATACAGAAACAAAGTTCACACTCTACCCACCCCGACTATCTGTGGTCTTTCTTATAAAGGTAAAAAAATCTCCACCTCTGGCCACTTAAGCTAAGCTGGTAGAAATTTAACCCTTAGGGGAGGACGGGGAGCATGTTCACGCCTCGGCCACTCCACAGCAAAGCCTGACGAGCTAAAATAGGAGCCCCGAGGTGCACACACGCTCAGCTTCGGCCATTTCTCCAGCATATTTCAAAACCCAGCTGCAGGGCAGCGCTTTCTTCCCCC